ACAGCAGCAGCATTCTCTTCAAAAGCTAAATGCTCAATGTGGCACAAAAGAATGGGATGAGGACCCACTACTGAAAATTAAGACAGATGTCATGCCAAACTGCCTAATACTGCCACCACAGGCAGAAGAGATACAACATCCCTCTGGAACAAGCATGAAAATCCTCCTCGTTTTTGGATTTGCTTTCACACAAGGCAGTAGAGCAGATGGCAGACAAAATTTCTCAGGAAGAACAGCTGGAAATATAGATGCCGTGGATCTTGACCATCTGAGAATTCGAGAATTCAATCTGACCAGACTTAACATGAAGCCAACCACATACCCACAAGACTGTAGCATCATTTGCTCAGGGTTGAATTCTGTTCACTCATACCAAGAGCGTGCTTCCTTCCCCCCGAAACTTGAAACGAAAGGTGCCACTTTTAGCAACAGTCCCCTGAGGCACAAAGCTCTTCTCATTTTACAAAGCCACAGACTACTTCAGTTTAGTCTGAGAGCTATTTAGAATGGCTGTTCTGAAATCAAGAACACAGTCTAGTTTCCCAAGGCTTCCATTCTGCTAAGTGTGCAAGGTCACACACAGTCCATTTTTGGCCAGACACCTCTAGAGTTTTGCTATTTTCCTTCAAACCCTTGGGAAAATGTTTATTTACCTTTGAAATCTGGGAACTGATCCATTATAAATTGAAATTCCCATTTTCCCTACACATTTTATTTCCATACATGGAGATAAATTCCTCTTTACCAAAGTTATTTATTTAAAAGCCAGGGAGGCTCCAAGTTCCTGCTGCAGGATCTGTATGTGGTTCAATGGAGCAAACAAGGGGCAACAGGGGTGGGAAGGGGTCTGGAGTACAAGTCTGGTGAGGAGCAGCTGAGGATGATCAGCCTGAAGAACAGAAGGCTCAGGGAAAACTTTATCATTCTCTACAATTATTTGAAGGAGGCTGTAGCCAGGTGGGGGTCACCCTCTTCTCCCAGACAACAAGTGACAGGATCAGAAGTGGCCTCAAGTTGCACCAGGGGAGGTTTAAATTAGATATCAGAACAAAAATCTAAGGGTTATAAAGCACTGGAACAGGCTGCTCAGGGAAATGGACTCACTATCTATGGAAGTGGTCAGAAAATATGTAGAGGTGGCACTTGAAGGCATGGTTTATTGGTGAACACAGCAGTGGTGCTGGGTTGATAGTTGGACTTGATGATCTTAAAGAACTTCTCCAACTTTAATGATCCTTTGAGTCTACAGCTTTCCACCAGGAGCAAACCCTGCACCATCACTCATTCATTCATTACTCCCAAGAAGGAAAATCTTTTCAGATCAGAAATACCTTTGATAATATTTCAGTCCCCAGAGCCTGTTTGTGGTCCACAAGAAGCCTTAAACAGGCCACGGGAAATTCCAGCAGCATGGGGAAACACAGGAAAGCCCAAAGGCAGCACCCCACCCATCACCTCCACAGCTGGGCTGGTGTGACTGCAGCACAGGAGGGAACATGCACAGAGCCCCAGTGCACAGCAGATAAGGGCAAATTCAGAGAATTACAACTTTATAAAGTCTGCTGAAACAGACAAACCAGGCCAGCCACCCACAGCAGGGCACCTGAAGATAAGGACCCCAATCCAAGAGTCACCTCAGCACATTTTGCAGCCTGAAGCCCCAGGCAGTCCCCCAAGGAAGCAGAGGACACTTCTTTCCACTGCCCTGAGCCACAAGAGTGGCTACAGAAACACTTGCTGCCACCACTCACAAACCTCCAGAAGATTGCTTTCAAATTAGGGCAATTTCAAAACCCAGAATCCTTGAAGAGGAAGCCACTGTTGTTTTTGACTGTGGATCAGCATGTATCCCTCTTCAAGATGTCTTAAATCTCTCTCCTTGAGCTAATTGTAGGAGAGGTCTGTAAATGATGCCTCATGTTGTTTAGAGGTTGCTTTCAGATAAGACCAGAAGTAATCACAGAGTTTCGGTACAGGCTGTTGCATCATAAAACTTTCTCTCAGAACCCAGGCTGCAATTTCCACTTGCAAACTCACTCATTAGCTTTCTATTAACTAATGGCTTTTGCCTAAAGGTAATAGGACTGTTACTGTGGTTACATGAGAGAAATGACAGAAAATTGCCTTGATAATAGCAAGGTGGCATTTTTCAGCTCAGGGTACACTCGGGATTTCACAAAGTCATGGAGAAAGGTGCCTCCCCCACCCTCCTACAAGCACCAATAACAGCAGTCACTTTGCAGAAATCTGTTTTCAAAAGCCAAAGGTATGCAAAAGAGGGAGGGGAATAAAAAGCATACGTGAAAAATTACCAATGACTAAGCTACCAAGCTGTGCCAGGTACATGAGAAGCTTCCACCTTGGCAGCGGCCTTTATTCATCTGCTAGGTGATTTTGGCTAATCCTTTCATAATTAATGCTGCTTTCTCCATAATTATTTGTGCCTTCTCTACTGCTGTCTGCTCCACCTTGTATGACCATTCATTCAGTGCCCAGTGCTGGACGGTGCCAGGTGAAGTGGAAGAGCTGAAAAAATAAATCGGTTCCTTCAGTTTGTCTTGCCCACTTAGTTCACAACCACTTTGATGTCAGTGTCACACCCTGTGGTCACCACACAGGGAGAATTTTAGTGCTCCCAAGAGCATTATAACTTCAACAGCAGTTTTTCACCTCCTCCCTCCTGCACTGGAAAGGGAAAATTGGAATCCATTTGCTTTGGGACACAAAGCCCTGCCATTCTACTGGGAACATTGGGTTACTTCACTACTTGATTAATTTTAATGCAGGCTGAGTAGCGTGCTCAATACATGGCCTTGCACATATGATGCAACTTTACAATTTAATCATAGGCTTTATAAGTTAATCATACATTTTATAATTTAATAATGTATTTTAATTGCACCCAATACCTTAGTTATTTCAGGTAGTTTAGTGTGTTAAAGAGTTACTAATTAGCATTTGAATTCTTCAGGAAGTGATTATTCATTGCAAAGCCTTATTCAGTTAATTATTTTAACCTCTGGAAAAAGAAGAAGTCCTAAATAATTCCTACAGCTGATTTAAATGATCAATAAATGTGTCAAATTTTAAATTTGGAAAAAAAAAATTAGAAAGAAAACTGTTAATTTCCTCACTTCCATTTTATTTAAACCAGAAATGGAAAATAAGAAATGAGATCTCAAATAGAGACTGTGCTTATCCACACAGTGCATGAAACATCTTAAACCAGCTCAGCTGAACAGACAGGAACAGATCTCTCCTTTACGGTACTAGGAGTATCAAGTTAAGTCACCTCAAACCAGAAAGAAATGTTATTTCAACTAAACAATACTGAAGTTAGACCATCTGAAGCATTCCTGTGGTTTGATTCTGCTTCCTTAAAAAAAGACCTGCATTGCTCTTTTCATGCACAAGCTTAACTTCAGTGGGGAAGTAACACCAGCATGTGGGTGGCAAGACAGCTCAACATACACAATTCAGACAAAATTTGGTATCACAACTCTGATCTCGGTCACTCCACAGTCCAAAACTTCCAAAGGGGCATTTCTGAGAACCAGAAAATCCACAGGGATTCCATGGGAGGAAGCCAGCCAAAGGCAGGGACACAAACCAGCTGTGCAGGAACAACCACCAGGGTTTTCCTCGAGTCAGAATCAAAACTGTTAGAAAATTACTCCAGAAGAATTATACAGCTTTCAGGAGCTCTGCCTTGCCCCTTGGTATTTTGGCAGCCTTTTGTGGAATGGAACATCTGCACAAAGCTGAGAGCGCAGATAAATTCTTCTCTTGGCACAGGCAACCACGATGACAGGACACAGCCCCAAACCACATCTGGGGAGGTTGAGACTGGATATCAGGAAGAACTTCTTCACAGAAAGGATGGTTAAGCTTTGGAGTGGGCTGCACAGGGAGGTGTTCAGGAAACAACTGGACACGGCACTGTGGTCTGCTGACAAAGGTTAGACTACCTCAGAGGTTTTTTCCAACCTAAATGATTCCGTGATGGGAGTGACCATCAGTGCCTCAGTTTCATTGACAACAGGTAGACAGGAAGGAAACAAATATGGAATAAACTCCCATAAATGTATACCCTTGCCCAAAATATTAACCTCCTCTCTGGGGAGGGAGGCAACCACAGAGACAGGCAGGACACACTGTTAATTCAAAAAAAGCAAACAATGGCTTTTTTGTTTGCCCCAGGAAGGGGTTACTGAGCAATTCATAAGCAGGGCTTGGCCATGAGGAGAGAAGGAAGAACACAAATCCAGGTCTTGCTCACCCCAGGAATCCAGACTGTGCCAGGAGCAACAGCACCAGCACCTTCCCCACACAGAGCTCCCTCAGTGGGAAAAGAACCTTGGCTGAACCACTGCTTCCACCATCAGAATCATCTCTGGAGCACACAGAGAGGAACAATCACTCAGATATTTGGACCCCTTAATCTACAAGAGCCTATGAAGATGGCAAAAGGAAGGCCAAACTCCACATTTGTTTCCTTCTACACTCCTGCTCCATTTTGGATTTTTTTCCTGAGAAAGTACCTGATTTAAAAGCCTCCTCAAAGAAAGTCTTTTCATTTTCCTACAGGCTTATTATTTTGTTGGGAGATGTGCGGCTTTGGTGGTATTTAGCAATTTGTAGGATGGTGCCTACACCTCCCGACAAATACAACACCCATCAGGTTTCTCCACTTTCTTTGCTCTCAGCTGGCTGCAGAACAAAAATCCCTTCACCAGGCTGAGAGCTGAGGGCTAGTGACTCACATCTGTCCTACACAGCAAAATACATTCTCTGTATTGCAAGTGTTTGCAAGAGCAAACACACAGTGAATCCACATACACAGACTGCAAATAATATATACCCAGAAATTATATAATTACACACCACATTTTACACCCACAAAGTGAAAGAAAACAGCAAATGAAGCAGCAGCAAATAACCTATTCTCTTTTAAAAGGAACACATCGAACAAAAATTAAGAGCCTTTCACTCTTTTGCAGAGACACAAGCAGCAGCTGAAGCATCTGGTGAAGCTCCTGACAGGGACGGATTCCCAAAGGCTGGGAGGCACAAAAATGAAATGGTAAGCCGTGCTTTTCCTTTGGAAGGAGCTGAAGTTTGGGAGCAGAAAGAGTTTCATTTAATTACTAACAGAAAATAATCTCAAGACCAAACTATGACTACACAGATGGAATTAACATTGTGTGTGAAGGCAAGATGGAAGTACAGGTCTGGTGTTGGCAAATGAAGCCTTGTCCCATCATGAACACTGAGAAACCTCAGTTCTACAGGCAGGAGATAAAAACCACATCAAGACTAGATGGCAAAACAAGCTAGGGTTTCTAACCCATCCAGCTTCATATCTAAATTATCTTCACAGATAAGGGAGCTTGGAAAAATGGCATAAATTACACCAGAGAAAAGGTCTTTGATCTCTGCTCTAGCATTCTAACAAAGCATTTGACCTTTCTCTCTTCTCTCTCCTTCTCATTAGGGAGACTGCTCTCTGGATGGTTGCCTGCTCACTGCTTGCCTCTCTGCCCAGAGGTAAATATTCCATAGTGCACACCTAGGAATTTGCAGAGGCATTTACATACAAACACACAAGGTACAAGCAGAATCTTGGAGAAAAACAGCAAATAAATGCATTGCTTTGCATATATTTCATCACAGTCCAAGGTTTGGGAGTACAGGTCATAACTCTCAGGTAAAGTTCTGTATCCAAAAGAAGTGGTTTTCAAATTTAAGGTGTTTCAGAGCCATAAACCTTTACCTAGAAAGTTTAACCTGCCACATCCTTAAAAGTACCCCACCACTTTAATAATATTAAAGATTACTTGGAATCTCATCCTTTACAACCCCAAACCATCTTGCATCTGCTTAGTTCTAGCAGAGTTGACTTTCTGACCTTACATTAATTAGATACCATCTTCCCTATGAAAAGGATAAACTAATGAACTTTATACAAGATACAGTTTCCTTATTGGCATTTAAAGACAGCAGTAGTAGAACCTCTGTGTGTGGTCAGGACTCCTCTGTTTGCCCAGAAGTGCCTCACATTTGCCAGACACTGCGGTGGGTAAGGATGCTACACTTCTCCTGGAAAACAAGGGGGGAACAAAAAAGCCCAATCTTCATGAGCTTCCCTGCACCACACTTCAATTACTGAAGCAGGAGTGTTTTCTCATTACAGGAATGAGAAAATACTAAATTGTCACATTCAACTTCATCTTAAACAGACTTAAACATTTCAGCAATATTTAAAACACATAATTAAAAAGGAACCCACAAAATAAACTCATCCCACTTTCCATTCAAGCCTCACATCTACAAGTGAAAGCTGTGTAGCACAACATTCATCTCCTCCAAGATGGAGAGCTGCCCCTTCCATGTGCAAAGCTTACTTGGTAGGTAAGATGAGCATTATTAAACCTGATTTTCATACCTCGGCAGCAGCTGCCACCACAAGGCTGCTTCCACATCTCCTGCCTTAGTGGGAAGCTTACCAAGCACCACCAGCTTTCAGCAGGACTTTACTCTTCTTCTCAAGACTGGCTTCTATATGAACACATTGATTTGCCCCCAGAATTCTGTTCTCCCCATCTACAAAAGATTTCTTACAGCTGTGTGCTGATTAAATAACTCATTACAGCAGATTGCAGTCACCTGCTCTTATCCCAGCCACTGCCTCCTTTTTTGCCTCCTTCTGCCCTGATTTTACCAGCTGGAAGCAGCGAGGGCAGGGTGTGCTGAGCCCTGTGGGTGTTCATAGAGTCCTCACGAGTGTTACAAGGTTTGTACACCATGTCATGGAAGGGAGGGAATGGGTCTGGCTCAGCTCAGATTTGGTAAATACTGGTGTCCTCCATCTTCAGAAAAAGAATCAAGAGCAAATAGCTGCACCTCCAAAACCAGTATCAAATGCACAGGTGTCCACAGCCAGGAAGTAGGACCCACACCCTTCTCCCTCTGTTATCCATTAGGAAAATCCTTATTGTCCATTTTTTCTGAATAGACCTACAAGCTCTGTTGGTCATCTTTTCTTCAAGTACAACACCGTGCATTGCAAGCACTCTCTCTCCTCATGGCACCCTGCAGACAGGACTTTTCCCAGCAGGAAAGTCTCACTCCCTCCTCTTCTGGAGGCTCCTTTCTTCCCCTGCCTGCCAACCCCTGCAGCCTCAGGCACACTCCTCTCCCACTGTGGTTTCCTGACCACGGTCAGGGGCAGCCAGAACCACAATCTGCTTTCATACATGGCCTTGCTCCAGGGACACTGCTGAGCAGTGACTGACTTTGCCTGTCAGGATCGGGATGAAAGCACTAGAGACAGTATTTCATGTTCTGGTTTAAATGTTTATTATTTCTTATCTATATTACAATCTTACAAGTCATGAGTTCTACAGCATTCTAACAAGCTACAAAATGGCCACATCTCTTTCTCTCTATGAGGTCTCAAGGGAAAACTATCCAATTAAGAAATGACACCTAAATCAGTTTTACTTTTAATCCAGTAACTAATCACTTGTGTCCTGCAATGGGGACTTTTCTGTCCAATTACACAAAACCACCCAAACCCCTGGAGAAGGAGGAGAAGAAGAAGGAGCAGCCTCTGCCCTAAAACCTCCATCTTGCTTTTTATCTATTACTATATTCTAAAACCTTAAACTCTTAAGTTTTGCAACCTGTGATATTACACAATTCTATTCAAACCCCACACCCACAATCCCAGTTTTGTCATTCCATTTTGGAAGCCTTCTCCACAGCCTCAGGTCAATGCAGTGTTCTCTTGAGGGTCTGTGCCTTTCAGCACAGAAAGTTTTAAATTCTCAGCATCCAGGGTTCCAACATTTCAGTCCCAAACAGCTCAGGGAAGGGGCTCAGGCTGCTCCCTCTCCTCCTCCCCTTGAGGTGTGCTGGGGACAGCTGATGGCCCTGCCTGGGAGTGTCACTGATTGCAGTGGCCTTTGAGAAGCAAAACCTGGCCAGCAACTGATAGATTCTGAAAATCACAGAACCACAGAATCACTTAGGTTGGAGAAGACCTCTGAGATCAAGTCCAACCTATGACCAAACTGCACCTTGTCAAGCAGATCATGGCACTGAGTGATACATCCAGCCTTTCCTTAAACACCTCCAGGGATGGTGATTCCACCACCTCCCTGGGCAGCCTGTTCCCAGGTCTAATCTCCCTGTGAAGAATTTTTTGCCATGGCCAAAGCATAATGACCAAATGGCTCAGCCCTCCACAAAACAAGGGGATTCTCCTTCCACCACTAATCAGAACAAAATCTTGGGATATGTATCTTTTTTCAGCTAAAAGCTGACATTGTTGGACAAACTGGGCTGGGATTTTCAGCTGAAAACTCTGAAAACCAAAATAAAAGCAGATGTGTGGTGATAGAGTTATAACCAGACATTTGTTTGGCTCTCACATTCAGTTGTCTGGATTGTGCTTTTCCTTCTGCTTTTATGTCTGGATAAACACAGTGTGACACCAAAGAAGGCTGATTGATATGGAAACAGAGGCCTGAGCATGTGACAAGCTGAGCCATGGCTGATGTCACTGACTTCAAGGGGAAACTGGGACTCTCTTTGGTCTTTAGCCTGACATATGCAGAGAGCTGATGCAAGCCACGAACACAGGAGTGACCCCAGTGCAACCAAGAATATTTATTTCAATATTGAGTCAATGTTTCAATATTATGCTTTACTAAATTTTGGCCATGGAAGCAGATTGAGTTGTTTCACAGTGAATTTTAGCCCTTCTTTTTGGTGCAATCACAGACTCGCACTGCTTTTGTTCTGGTCAGTGTTGGGAATAACTTTTTCATCCAAATTAATTATTCTGCATTTTAATATATAATATTATTTTATGCAACAGGTTTGGTCAGAGTGCTAATTTAAGCCCACATTCTGTGCTGGAAATACCTAGTTGTTCATGCTTTATAAATACAGAAAAATCTTCTTCATTACCCAGTCTACCCTAGAAAATGTGGCACTACAAACTGCTAGGAGTTGTCCTACCTGATAGTGGCAGACTCCCTCATTTTTGCAAGTTTTAGTCTGCTTTCAGCTGACTTGGAAGGATTTATAGAAATAATTGGCACCAAAGATATTAAATGAAGGTGTGTGTAAGTGGGGTGCAGCTGGCTGCCTGCCCTGCCTGTGTCCCTGTTTGCCCACCTGCAGGATGCCTTCATCCTGCCTCTTGCATGGGCTAGAATTGGCTGGGAAGGTTGGTGATACCTCTGCCTGATGTCAGGGACACCCACCAAGTCTCCCCAAAGTCTTGGAAAAACCATTTCTCTAAAGTGGGAATGACAGACTCTTGTTTCTGGCTGCTGGAAATAAACACCAAAGAGTATGAGAGACCACGAGACAGGGATCAGCAAGATGAACCAAGCCAGACCTGCAGGAAAAAGCTCTTTTCTCTCAGACCCTCTGCAAGATTTTGCAGGGAAAGGAGGATGGGAGCCTCCAGCACATTGCTTGAAAGTTGGGAATTGTGATCTGGCAGCCAAATAATGGGAGCTGTGGGAGACCAAACTCATCAGATCTAGAACTGTTTTCACACTTCTCCATTTTTCAGCCAGACTTCCTACAAAACCAGAACTTGTTTCATCATATTTGCCCACCCCCACTTCCCTGCATCCCCTTTTCCTCTTGTGAACTGACCTATTAATTAAACTCAAATCAGACACCTAACCCCAAAGACTGAGATTCCCAAAAGCTGGAAGAAAAAATCACCAGCGAAGGGGAAACAAGCTCAAGCAAAAGCCACACTTACAAAGTGGAGGCAACTTGCACATAGCAACATCTGTCCTGCTGCACAGCTGGCTGGGCTCTGAGCACACATGGCCCTCCTGGCTGGAAACAAGAGAACTTGGGAGGGAGAGTAGCAATAATGATGTGGTGGAGCCAAATTGTAGGAAACCTTGTGTCCCTCTTTCTGCTAATGGAACTGTCTGGGTTTTATTCCAGGGCAGCTGGACACCACGTGCCACGCATTTGTTGGAGAAACTGTGGTTCTGCCTTGCACCATCACCCTTCCTGGGGAGCTGACTCTTTCCAAGTCAATGCTCTACTGGCAGATTGGCACCAAGCTGGTGCACTTCTTTCAGAACGGGCAGGATTCACTGAAGGGCCAGGATGAAAAGTTCCACGGCAGAACCAGTCTTTTTCTGGACCAGATGAAGCATGGCAACCTTTCCTTAAAGATCTCCAATGTCCAGTTATGGGACGATGCTGAATACTCCTGCATCTACAGACAAACTGAGAGCTATCAAACAAAGAAATCTACAATTAAACTCAATGTATCAGGTAAGATTTTTTTTAGTACAGAGGAGTGAGTTGAGTGTACCATTTCTTGTTGATAAGCCATATGCAGACATTGAGAGGGATTACTTCAATTTTTAAAACAATTTTTAACTCAGTTTCATTCTGTTCCTTGCTTTTGTTGGAAGAATATGTGAGAAAGAAAAGATAAATCCTCTTTGTTAAGCTTCAGTACTTCAGGTCTCCTAAAGGCAAGGCACTTGCCTCTTCATCCTCCCTTTGAGGAGACATTAAGGAATAATGTCCCTGAATTTAAGCATCTGGTTATTTATGGGTTTGTACTGTCCTTGATCCACTTTGCCCCAGAGGAATTTGAATTTCACTGTTTGCACGTGGGTGTGTGAAGCAGAAGTTCAGTCTCTGGCAATTGGATCCAAAGTCCAGGTCACAGACCCTTTCAAGGAATGACAGCCTGTTGCTGCTTTCCTTTTCCCTTGCAGCTGGAAGATGGGGATCTGGTGGCATGGCTGGACAAATACAACAAGAATTTTTAATTTTCCTCCTTAGGAAAATGAGTGAGACCCTAACATATGTTTGAATAATGCCAAATAATGCCTACAAGCATAGCAACCAGAAGGATGAGGCATTGAGTTTGACCAGCTGACCAACTGAAAAAGAAAACTAAAAAAAAAGGGATACACATCAAAACAAATCATACATTTTTAAGGTGTCCTGCTTGAATAAATCAGCTGGAAACTTTCATCATGCTCAACCACATAGATTTACTTCTGCTTAAAATAGAAAAAAAAATTTCAAATAATATAAATCTTTTAATATCTTTCTTTTAATGCACATAATTCTCAAGAGGAAAATTTTTTCTAAATGTAAAGTGAAATAACATTTGTTCAAAAAATGTCAAAGCTAAATGTTTTGCAGTTTTCAAAATGAAAAAAATGATGTTTTGAAAATGCAGAATCAAAATGCTTCCATCATCTAAATTTTGGGAGCGGTAAGATGTCTTTGATATTATTCTGTGATCATACTTTAAGTTTGTTTGACAAATGTAAAAAAAAAATAACATTAACCCTTAGATCAATTATCAGAAAAATAGAGCAAGTTCTAGGTTCAAACAATTAACCTTGATTATTGTGGGGTTTTTTCCCAGCTCTACCTAAGATTGAGGACCCACCTTCCCCTTCTGGTAAGGCAACACTCCTTAACTTGCAAGTGTCTGGGTGATTATGCTGTGCTTTATTTTATATTGGTAAGATTGGCAAAATGTGCTGCATAAAGTCCAATAAACTTGGGGTGTTTGTTCTCCCTCACTAATCCTGGCAAAATACAGCTGTTCCAGACAGGGAAAAACACGTTCCAGATAGGGAAAAACATCTTCACCACTGAGACAGACCTGGGCTGCAGGGAGAAGGATGCTGAAGTGCCAGGAATGTCGAGTCCAGAGAGACACTCACCAGTATGAGCATCATAAAAATCACTAAAAAGCAAGGAACACGGAAGGCACTCGATTCTGGGAGTTAAGGCCTCTGTAAATTACCTTGGTGTGAATAAACCACAGGATCATCAAGGCTGTGGGACACCTGCAAGGTCATCCAGCCCCACCACCAGCACAGCAGCACCATCATCAACCCTGAACCACTCCCCAGGTGCCACATCCAGGTGCCTCTTGAGCACTTCCAGAGATAGGGATTCCACCACCTCCCTGGGCAACTTACTCCAATGCCTACAACCACTCTTTCAGTGATTTTTTTTCTAATATCTGAGTGTCCCTTGACATAATTTAAGGCCATTTCCTGTCATCCTTTCATTTGAGGTATGGCAGGAGAGACCAACGCCCACCTAGCTACAGCTTCCTCTCAGGTAGTTCTAAAGTTAAACTACCAGATCAAGAGATCTGGGGGGTCCTTTTGGTAATAAATATTAAAAAAAAAAAAAAAACAAACATTATTAATGATTCCACATAAGCTCTTCTGGTAAATTAAGGTCGATTTCATCCAAAGGCAATATTGCAATATAGTGCAGATGTTATTATCTAGGTTTATTCATTACAGAGAAGTAACTACACAAAGGTAATTTGTAAAAACTCCTGGAGTGAATTCAATGCAGAAAGGATGTCCTGCTTCTAGATACCATTGTCAGTAAGTTCTTCCCTAAAAATCTTCCTTGCAAGTCAAATGATTCTTATTAGTGCTACAAAGTCTGAAATTGTCATTAAACCTATAACACTTTGTCATATAAAATCAAGAGCAGCAGTGTATATTTTACTCAGTGGGGCTGGAAGATAAGATCCTTTACATAGTAATTATTATATTACATTTAATGTGATAAGTTCAGCCACACTATGACATTACAGACAGATTAGGCTGTTATAAACTCAAATAGAAACTAAGAAAGAGAAATGTTCCAGTCTTTTATCTCATGATCACACAGAACAAGGAAAAAAACTAAACAAACAAACAGCAATTCTTGTGCCTGATGAGCAAAAAACAACTTGAAAAAATACAGGAACTATCCATTTTTAGACCTAAGCTAGGTAGTCTAGCTGGCCCAAAGGTCTTTCAAAAACATGAAGTTAAATTCAAGATGGTATTATGTGCTTTCACATTACTTTATAAAAGCAAATAGAACAGAAATTAGAAATTAGCTGTTACCTTCCACAAGAAATCAAAAATTACTGAGGATCAAACTTCTTAATGCAGAAGCAGTGGAAGAATCTCAAAACCAAATGTAAGTGAATTGTATTTAAATGAGATAGTTGTATATATGTTTGACTCAGCCAAAACCTTCCTGACAACTACTCCTGAATACAAACTATTTCTTATAATGAAGAGGCATTTTCATTGAGGAAAATAAATAAATTATTGAAACAAAAGGGGTGTGTTTCACTTTAGGAGTACAAACTGAATCACACACCTTTGACATCTGATGGTTCTTGTACTGCAGGATTTTGAGGGACTTGGGGATGAGAAAAGAACAAAAGCCTTTTTAAGTGTAATTTTTTACAAAAAGGGAAATTTTTTTTTGCAAAAAGGGGAATATTTCCTGTTGTCAACTTCTTTTAAAGAAAATCATCAGCCACAGCTCTCCCCCCACTTTTTTTCCAGCAATTTCTTCAGAAAGAGAGAAAGGGAGAGAAAGAGAGAAAGGGAATCTGTTTTATATTAGCTGTTATTTCAGAAGGGACTTAGGAAAATTAAAAAACAACCTGCTGAGAACAAATGCATTCTATACAGAAACAGTTCTCACATTTCACAATCAACCACATCAACAAATATTATTTTTACATAAAGCAGAAAAAATTTTCATCTGTTTCACTATGGCTACATATCTGTTTGTTTACTGCATGGATTATTTTTCCCAACTACTTTAAAGAGGCAAATTTTATTTTCACTCTGAATGTCTTGCAAGTCTCCTTCTGGGTCAATAAAACTAGTTTAGCACTTTTCCTATGAATTAAAGTGCTTGGGCCTGGAAGAAGACACATAAGACTAGGAGGCTTATTGTTATAACCCTACATTTATTTCAAGGCATTACTGAGGACTACCTGATGTTCTCTGTACACATTAAGATCACAAACTCCTTCCAGGAACAGGGGGAAGCACCCTGGCTAGAGAGAAATTAATCCCAGTGAGATACTGACAGCTGATCCCATAGCAATAGGAACAGCCCTCAGGTATATAAAAATCAACACACAGCCTGTTCTTCACAGAGAAGGACTTGGAACTCTTATAGGGGAAAAAAACCATCTTCTTTTTAAGTCAGGGATTGAAAATCTCTTTTTACTTGTCTACTACATCCAGCCCAGGTTGAAGGTCCCTCCTGTGCCAAGGGTGACTTGTGCTCTGTGGCCACGTTGTGGGTTTTGTACCAAGAGTGGCCCACAGTGCTGCTACCACCTGAAGTGTGTGTGACCTAGATTTTTAATATTTATTACCATTGTTTAGGGACTCTTAATCAAAACATCACCCTCAGGCCCTGAGCAGGAAGAATGAAAATGTATTTTCATCCTAAAATCATAGAATGGCTTGGGCTGGAAGGCATCTCAAAGGTCACCCAGTTCCCACCCCCTTGCCATGGGCAGGGACAGCTCCCACTAAACAGCTGGCTGGTTGTTGCTTTTTTGTTAGGATTTTAAACAAAGATTCTCAGTCATCCACAGAAGTTGCATCCATTGTTGCTGAGTTTTTGCAACTTTTCTGTGAAAAAGAAAAAAATACATGTCCCAGTACCTTGAGACTATTTTGCCTGCTCTCTGTACAGACACACAATGGGAGAATTTTGAAAAGGAGGCAAAATGCATTGTTTTAAAAACATTCCTCCCTCAATCCATTCATGTAAAATGTGTCATGCAAACTTCTAATACACTTTTTTTGTCAAGCCATGTCTTACATGCTGGCTTTCTCTTTTTTAATTTTTCAGAGCAGAATCAGATTCCCTCCGGAAGCCCCGTGGATGTGCCATGTCTGGCTGTGCTTCCCCTCTCTTTCCTCCTCCTGGTCCCCCTGGGGCTTTGGCACTTGTAACAGGGGAAGGCAACCTTGTCTTTGGGAATTTCTCCTCACCAGAGGACTTTTCTGAGCAGGACAAGTCTGTGGGGTCAGTGTGACACCTCCAGAGCACCAAGAGCTGAGAACAGACCAAGCATTAGGTGTTTACGTCCTACATTCTGATGTTCCACAAAACCAAGGGCAGCAAAACTCTGAGGTGGCAAGTCTGCTTTTGCATTTTTTTCTTGGGAGTCCAGTTTTAGTGCTGCCAGGATATACAATTTATTTTGGGTTGTGTGGGTTTGCTTTAATGAACAGGATAAAAGGCTCACAAAACTCCAGGATCAGATTATAGCTGATCCTAGTGAGATCTTTTGCCTCTCATTTGCTGTCCTTCAAGACAACTGAAAGGAGGAGTGGGGCTAACTACTCTCTGTGTCAGACAAAAACTGGAAGTAGGAAGACACTCCCATGTTCTGAAGTGTAAGGATGGAAAACTCGTGAAACTTGATTCTGTGAAACTTCAGCTTCTGTTATCACTCCTAAGCATCATAGCCGATGAGTAAGAGCCCTTTTTTTTCCACAAGAAACATAGTATTTCTTCAGCAGAAGGGTGAAGCTGACTGAGAAAGAGGGTAGAAGTTCATAAAATACCAACACAAAGGAAGGAAGTGATGTATTACTAAAAAATCCACAGTTAAATAAGCCAAACAATTCAGAAGGCTGAATTCAGCGTTATCTTTTTTTTGTCATGAAATATGGCAAAGCTGGATTCTTAAGATGGAACTGTGCAATGAGAAATACCATGCCAATGTTACTTCTTTAAAAACAGTACCTTTGGAGGGGTTCAAAACATTTTAAAACTCATCAGAATAATTGTAACTTATACCTATGCAAACAAAATGGATTTATTTCTAGAAATGTTCAATTCAGGTAGCAGAGCTGTCCAAAACTCGGGTCCAAAGGATCTTGCATACAAACAATGTCAAGGAAGTGCAGAAGTTTTTTTCAGGCCAGAACTGCAACTGCCCTGTTTCACAACCAAAAAGCATCCAGAGAACAGAAGTGATGCCCAGCAGTGACTGAACATGCTGGGCCCCTGGGCAGGGGAATGACTCAAGAGGATGCACACAAAGTGACTTTGCTTTGGAACAGTTGCACCATTGATTTTTTTTTTTGGTTTTGTTTTTTTTTTTTTTCCCCAATGAAGAGACGAGATTGATTTTGCAAGGAAGGGACAGAATAAATCAGAGTTTCAAATGGACATAGAAGTGACAGTTACCTTTGAATTTCTTAACTAAAGGCTCTTTCCCCATGGTGGGGAAGAGAAACAAAATCCCACACATGGGCTGTGCTGGTGCTGCAGTGAAGCTCAGCTGATATTTGGCTACACTGAGTATAGAGCAGCTTAGTGGAACAGCTGGAGTCCAACTGCACAGAGAGATTTGCCTATAAGAATTATACATACTGTGACTGTCTTTTTTGTCCCAGCCTCCAAATGTTTGTGTATTTTTTTAAGACACAATTTGATTATGAATAAAAACCTGAAATAAAACCAAAAATCCCTGATGAGAGCAATCGCTTGGTCTATAAGAGTTCTTTATTTGTATTTCAGTTGTTCCCTACAGTTAGAGAGGCTCCTCTGCAATTAGAAGGTTTAAGAAGTAAAACCTGTGTAGTTTTGTTGGCCCTAAAAATCTGGACTGCCTGCCCTCATCTCAAGGACTCCACACTAAAAATCTGATAGTCACTTAAGCAGCCCAGCATTTCTCAGGAATTGTAGAATCCCAGAATAGTTGAGGCTGGAAAAGATCATTGAGTCCAGCAACGAACTCAGCACTGCCAAGTCCACCATTAAACTATGTCCCTCAGAGCCACATCTACATAAATCATCTTTTAAATCCCCCCAGGGGCAGCAGTTCTGTTAAATCTCAACATTTTGGTGCCAGCTGCGTGTGAGGACACAGGCCTGGCACGTGCCCAGACATGGCTCTGATGGATCAGCAGGCAGAGACTAGAGATAAATTCCCTTGCCTGCAGTGCCCCTGTTCAGAGGGCTGCCAAGAAAAAAAGAGTCTGTCAGGAGCAAGGACTTCAAACCATATCTAGTTTATAAGCAAAACTCCATGTTTTGTGTCACACTTGAAACAAACCAGGAGCCAGTGCATTTTAGGAGCAAACTTTCCTCTTTGCAAAGGGTGTCACAAGACAAAGGGATGTCGAAACAGCACATCCTGAAATAATTTGCTCTAGCTATGCTAATTGCATTTCCACATAGTGCTGTATGTACCAACAATCCAGACTGGAATTACAGCCTGGATTACAGTCCAATACTTTATCATATCAATTTATAATTTTATCAATTACATTTATATATATATAAAATACATATATATATATAATACATATAATTTTATCAATTACAGTCCAATACTTTATCATAGTACTGATGGCCACATCCAAAAAGGCAAGGTTACATCTTTTAACCAATGCAAATGGATTTATTTTTGGAGGTGCAGGTGTAACTTGGCTGCTTTCTTCCTTTAAAAATATCCTTCCTTCCTTTCCCTTCCTTTCTCCTTTCCCTTTAGTCTTTTCCTTAAACCTTTTCTCTTAGCCTTTCTTTTGTAAACTATGGTCAGATTTTGGGTTTATATCTCATCACAAGTGCCTTCCAATTACATTGTACATAAGACATCAAAAATCTCTCCTTCTCCCCCAATTCCTCCCTTTCCCCTCCCCACATCAGTCACACTGCTCTGCTTTTCACCCCTTCTAGATCAACAGGCACTGTGTGAATGCTGATTTAGCCTACACTAAGAACAGCATTTTTCTTCACTTTTACATGGAATTAAAAAGTGTTTTTTCCATACTCAAGAAGTATGGAAAGACATTTGATAAGAGTCACAAAAGAAAGTTGAAACAGCAAAAAACAAACAACAAAAAAACCCAACCAAAACAAAAATATTCCCATACCTAATTTATAATTACTTTTTCTCTTCTTTTTTTCTAAATTCTTTTTCTGTCTCACCCTTGGAGAAGAAAGGACTATCAGAAATGTATCACTACACATGACACTCAGGATATGGCATAAGAACACAGGCCAAGCAGCTCCTGTTTCCTTAATAGCAAGAATTTTAAGAATGAGGATCTGGAGCTAACAAATGAAGATGAGGGGAGAGAAGAGAAGGAGGTTCATGGCATTTTCCAAATTATTACACTTACTGATGGCAATCTTTTTTGTCTGCCAAAAATTGCTGCAGTGGGCTTCTTGGCCAGAGATTGGAAAGAGAGACCAAGCCAGGGCAGGAGTGGTGCAAGGGCAGCAGCAAGAACTGAGCTACAAGGACCCAGAGGATCAGGTACTAATAGGTCACTGAAGATGTAATGTAAATTGGCTTGTAATGTAAACTGTTATGTAAATAGGTTATATCAATTGCAAAATCAAATATGCAAATCATCTTAAAATTGCATTTAAGGCATCCAGACTGGTAGCACAGGGTCCTTCTTGTGCTCCCAGCCCAGACACATCTTTATGGATGGAATAAAGAGAGGACTTCTGCTGCCTTTTTTTCACAGTACCCTCCAACAAAGTAGAAGAAAACTAAAACACAACAAGGAAATCCATTTCAGTAACACCTGCATGGCTAAAGCAACCTTGCAATTTCAGCCCCAAACCAGAGTCTTTGACAGGAATCCCTTTACAGCACAGAAGGGAGGCAAACTTCCCAATTGCTTTCAGCACAGAAGACACTAATGCAGAAATGTCATTTTCCCAGTGACCAGCCATACAAAGCCCTTTGGATGCAGGCAGCTCAAAGCATTTTTATAAATTCAGGGAGCTCCCAACACCATCCCTGCACAGTGTTGAAAAAGAGTCATTCCTGGTTTAGGGGGAGAAACCTGAAGCAGTGCAATTTTTTCCAGCTGACATTGTTGATAGATCAAAAACCTGAGTCAAGATTCCTCACTTTGTTTTGTGCCAACAGCAGGAGAAACTTCCTAGTTACTGTTTTACACAGTATTAGGCATTTATTCTATCAGTATCATAATTTCTTAGCCACAAACTGAAAAATATTAGAAGTCAAATCATGTAAATTCATTCTCAGAGTCTATTTTGAAAATAAAACCCTTGTAATAACTGCACAAGAACACAGATGAATCCAGTGTATTGCATATGGAACTAAAAGGTTTTAGTAATAAGCCCAGTATAAACATAGGAGCCATATTATATACTATTTAATTTCTACCAACTTTATCCAAAATAATTGTAGAACTCAATTTTTATGGCTGTTGTAAAAAGTAATTGAAAAAAAATGGTGTTAATAGATTATCACCTGTAAATCAAGCCCATTAAAACTGATTTGTAAAGCCATGATATGAATAAGACTCTGATGCTTTCATGTTTTTTAAAATGCTTCACCTGGCATAAACTTTTAATACTTGAGTCCACATACTGAGCTGTTGTTGGGAAAATAACACTTATTTCCTTGCTGTTATCAACCCTCTGTTTTTAAATTTAATTATTGCTGTGTGCTGCTCTGTGCTGTGTGAGCACCTCCACTGACAAGTGTGAGCTGTGTGACTACAGAAGGGCCTGGGTGACCTCTGAATGTTGTTTACAACTCTTCTTTTTTGTGACTCGGATTTGCAGCAGCACTTGGGATGCTTAAATGTCCCTGTTTATTGTATTTTCCCAAAGCTGTACTTCATGCCATTCCCAGTGGTTATCTACAAGCATCATTCCAATTTCCTGCAAGTGGAGGTTTGAGTGACCAGCTGGCCTTGACCTGTCCTTCCTTGACTGGGTGATGCCACAGGAGGTGTCTGTCTTGAAAGTTCCCTCCCTATGCAGAATGTGAGGAGCAGACAGTTCTTGTGTCTTCCAAAGTTTCACTAGGAACAAGAGGAATTGCTTTGAAAACTAAGGAGCACAAAAACAATTCACACATTTAAGGATTAATCTCCACTTCTCTCACTTGCAGTACCTTGGTGGCCCACACCTACATACTCCATATGGCAGGAGCATATGGGTTGCATTAAATTTTTAAGAGTTCTTTGGACATTATTATTGCCAAAGAATGG